ATGCCCAAGCGCCGACCATCCTTTCTCCCAACGACGACGGGGGTGCCAAGCCTGAATCTGACTCAAGACACTGTCGAGGATGTTGATGAGAGCGCGATCGTCTCGTGGCTGTTATATATCGTACGAGAGTCGCGTGGAAGACGCCGTCTTCTAGCCGCGAGATTACTCGTCAATCTTCACAGCCTTCACTTCGTTAAAAAGGACCGTGGTTCATCTTTTTCGTCCTTGTTGGTTCCGCTCATAACGCGGATGCTGGACCCAGATCTGGCGCAATTTGACGCATCGTATCAACCCAGCAGGATGCAGCTATGTTCTGGCATGCATTGCACACAAGCCGTCCCTGCAGTACTAGCTGCGCTTATCATGGACGATCCCGAGATGCAGAAAGTGGCTGTCGAAGGCAAAGCCATTGTCAATCTGTCCATTGGTCTGAAATCAAGCTTTGAAGGCCCGGCGACTCGCAAATTATCGCCCTGGCGTCCACACAGATTGAACAAGGTGGAGATTGAAACAGTAACGCTAGGTAGAAGCATTGGTCCTGGTGGGCCAACATGGGCAGCCAGAAAGGAGATGCAATATCGAGAAGGATGTCTGAAAGCGCTGGCAGCTCTTGCACCATTCGAGGAGGACTACCGCGAACGAATTTGCAATGAGGGTGTTTTGCCATATATCATTCAGGCCTTGGAGCCTTATGAGGCGCAAGTTGGGGCAAACCAGGAGATCGAGATGACAGGAAACTCTGCGTCCGTGATATTGGCGGCATGCGCAGCTGTAAGAGCTTTGGGAAGATCGGTTCGGGCACTACGCACGAAGCTCATCGAGGCAGAGGTTGCCAAACCGATTCTGAAGCTGATGAATTCGACGAATCCAGAGCTGAGGATTGCGGCCACCAAGGTTCTGACCAACTTAGCTATGGACTTCAGTGCGGTCAAAGAGAGCGTTGGGGAATCAACAGTGGTGAAGAAGTTGTGCGAGCAGGCCCATTCGGCCAGTGTTCGGCTTCGGCATGAATCACTATGGGCACTCAAACAGCTTGTGCTCAACGCCAGCAAGAAGCTCAAGCAGGAAGTCGTGGACGAGTTGGGATGTAGCTGGATCAAGCTTCTAATCAAGACGGACCCCATCGATATACCGGAGGGCGAGGTGATTGGACTTGTGGAGAGAGACTACCCTCAGATCACCACATACAGACGTTCTGGTGCCTCAGCAGACAATCCCCAAGACATTGTCATGGGCGAGGATCCAACGCAGGATGGCGAGAACGAGGAAGACACAAGCGGAGTTTCCGAGACGACAGCCGAGCATACGGGTGGATTTGACACCAAGCACAGCGTGGACGATGACATTCAGATTCAAGCACAACTACTAGATCTCCTTCGAAACCTTTTCTGTGGCGAGAATGCTTCCGACCTGGTTAGATATGTCATAGATGAAATGGGACAGGACGACTTTTTCCGGATAATGCTCGATCGATTACGGCCACGGACACTAGCTGGACCTACGCGGAAGGAGAACTACACGACACCACCACCCAACACGATTGTCGTCAAGGTTTTATTTGTCTTGGTACATATCGCTGCCTGCGACCCAAAGTGGCGGAATGTGATAGCCTCACAACACGCGCTGCTCAAGCAGATCCTGACCTTCTGCAACCACGCAGACCGAGAGATCCGGTCAACTTGCTGTTGGATCGCCATCAACTTGACGTACGAGGACGACGCCAACGATCGAGCGGGGTGCAGGCACCGAGCTATCGAGTTGCAAAAGGTCGGCTTCGTCTCACACCTGAGAAAGATGGAGACGGACCTTGACCTGGACGTGCGAGAGCGGGCAAAGACGGCGCTGCATCTGATGACGAACCTGAAGTTGCTAGCATAGAACAGACGTCGTCTTTGGCGGTAGATATCCAAAGGGGCACTTTGTAGCAATATGAACAAGACATTTTGTTTGGGCGATCTGCATAAACTTCTCAACACTATATCCATATAGCTCTTTTGATTCTGTACAGGGAGTACACGACAGATCTGCGTCTATATTCTAGCTCGGTTTTGGATATAGAGCCAGCTGATCAAGACTGTCTGTGTTCAAAGCCAAGGGTCGTCCCACAACCTAGTGCTCGCAGATCTCCCGCCGAGCGCAAAGTTTGAACAGTAAGTGCGCAAGATACCCACTCACAGTCGGACGGTACTTTCTCCAGGCTGTCGATGCTGGTTTCAGTGGAGCCACAGCATGGCTGGGCCCCTTGCGATGGACATCCGTGTTGCCTACGGAGAGCACAACCCACACTCAATGCGCCTTTGGACGCACAGAGTGGGCTTCGCGTCTGGGTAGACATGGCTCCGGTGGTTGAGCGTAGCTGGGACGGTTGTTGTGTCCGCGATCCGACATGATCCTACGTCAGCTTCGTATCGGTCGTGGCCGGAGTGGTCGCCGTGAAGGGCGGTTCGTGTGACAACAATGTGTCTTGTTCTATAGCTGAGACTGTGCATAAGCGCTGTTGTTGTCTACCATGGTAAGTGTGTCATCCTACTGGCCGTTCGTACGTGGCCACGACTCGATCGAACCATGTGGATCCGCTGGGGTAAGCCCAGTTGCTGTAGAGGAATGTGCGGAAAATGCGACGGTAGTCTTTCCAGCTGATTGAAGTGGTCCAGCCCTTGTCCCTCGAGACGTTGACATGGTCGGCAAGGCGGTGCTGATACCAAATCGATTTGGGCGACACGTCCTTCCGTTCTTCTTCAAAAGCCCCCAGGAAGTAGAGCCACGCGTGCGCCTCGTGGTACTGCCGTTTTTCATCGTCGCTGGCAACAATCAAGACCTGGTTCATGACAGCTCTCAAATGTCTCAGGATCTCAGGCGAGGAGTCCCGAATGTCCTTGCCGTTGATTTTTGTCTCGTGGCCCAAGACGCGGACGTAGTACAGTAGTCCCAGCGCCAGCGCAATCTGCGTCAGCCTTTGGGCAGGTTTAAGAGCTGGCCGCGTCCTCTTTTGATGCGAGGACGAACGATTACCACCTCGGAGATCGAAGTAGATCTGGAGAAGTTTCGACATGGTGTACTCACTCTGCGTCGCAAACCAGGCAAACGCAAGCTGTCTGTGCTCCAGCGGACCCCATGCTGCGTCAGGCACTTGCATTCCGTCTTCGCAGTATGCGGCCTGGTGGAGCGAGTTGATGAATATCTCCCGCAACTCAGGCAATTCAATTGTAGCATTGATATTCACGTAAGCGGCTTCGGGTATAGGAGGTAGGACATATTCGGCCGTGGCCCATATTGGCTGGACAATCGTTTTGTACCAGTCTGGATCGAAGTAGGTGGGCCGCATAAACTTGGTGGCGTCATCACAATCGGCATTGATAGCTTGTATAATCATCAAGTGGTCGACAACACCGTCATTGAAGCCTTGCATGATGCTTCGAGCTAAGACCTTGCCGTGAACTGATACTGAGGTTTTGTTTTCCGAGAAGACAGCCGCGCGAAACAACCAGAAGACGTGGCTGATGAGGCTTGGCTCTCGCAGCAGGACACTTTGGCCGTCAATGCTGGGCAACTCATCAAGGGACTTTCGTAACAACTGTGAGCTCTTGGTGGTATAGACCAGAGCCTCACGGCTGATTTTGAGTCGATTTTCCTCGGGCATTAGGGGGCCCATATTGCTTAGGAAACTAGCAATACAGGCCATGGCCTGCCCTTCGGAAGTCAAGCTGCTCGCTGCCGTGCCCCAATCTTGTCGAGCCGTCTGCGCGGGTAGCCAAGTGCTATCTTGGAGGACATTGATTGGCCCATGGGAGCTACCGTAGAGGCGACGGAAGAAGGTGTTGTAGTATATACTTGGGTACAGCGCCTCCCGCATGAATGTCAAGCACTGGTTCACAAGTGGTGTGATGACGATGGGTAGCATGGCAAATGGGTCAGAGTTGCCATTGAGCACCAGCGGTGGAGGAGGCGAAAGCTGTCTTTCTTCATTGGATGAAGACTCGGAGTGAGAGCTCACGTTGGAGGTACTTGGACGGTTAGTCTTCCGTCGTAAGTCTAGCCTGTAAAGAGCTTGTTTTCGAGGAACGGGATGTGGAACAGGACGATTCGAAGCATGGTTCGACTTCGCGGTCTTGCTCGCCGCCTGTACAGCGTTGAGGCGACCAATGCGCGCAGCATGTGAGCGACGTTCTTTGGCACTTATGCCAACACCCTCCCCGATCTCGTCTGTCCCCACGTGGAAGACGAACTTGAGGTCATCATCGGCCATGGCAGATTCTGGAATTTGTTGAAGGGCAGGTCACTGTCCCCCCAAGTCATGGATGATTTCATATCAGGGTTGTTGACTGCTGCACAGGTCTGCAAGGCCCACAAGCGTCTCAGTGGGGTATGAAGCATATATGTGCTATCGGAGAGGGGTCCCAACCGGCAGGATGAAGCACCCGATGTTCCCAGGTTAAAAGAAGAGTGTGCAGACTCGGGAGCGCTGGTCGCGCAAGGGCGAGACTCCGGCGAGGAGTTGCGCCATTGTTACCGGATCAGAGCCTATTTGCTTTTTGGCTGTGGCAATTCGCGGCGAACGCGGGTCGTCGTGGGTAAGTGTGATGGTGTTGAAGATTTTTCAACCGGTAGGGATTCGTAGTGTGGGCATGGGCATACATGCATCCGAGCCGTCTGCGCTGCGTGGAATGTTCATAGTGCGGAAGCATAGCTGGGGGATTATGGAATCAAAAGGCTCATTTTCCGACATCTCAGAGAGGGAGGTGGGCATAGGTTCAGTTCTCACAGTCTTCCATGATAAAGTTGAAATAGAAGAGATCATTGGGCAGAACGAGTAACTCGTGAAATACTCGACCAATCAAGCGCCACCATCGACATCACTTTGTTTGCAGGCTCGGCGCGTTTCTGCCAAACGCCCGAGGCGGCATCTTGTTGACAAGTCGGTCCCTTTCAAGTCGTCCTCGCTACCTTGTAAACAACTCACCCGAGTTCGAGTACAACAGTGCACAACTATCACGTCTATCATGACTTCGTCCGACAGAGGCTATTCTCGGTCTACGCTGCGAAAGATCCTCAAAGCCCACTCCAGGAAGAGGGTGGCCACAGAAGTCGATCCATTGGTCTACCTCAACTACATTCTGTTCATGGAGGAGTTTGTCCCACTGGTACCTCTACGAAAATCTAACAGCTAACACTGGAATTTGGTGCAGGCTTATGCAGACTGCGACTCGCAAAGCACTCTCGGACAACAATAAAAATGTCACCGCGAAAGACATCAGGAAAGCCACTATAGTACGCAACGAGCCTTGTGGAAGCTGGGAAAATGCGAGACAGAGCACTGATCGTTGTGGTAGACAACTTTACGTCGATTCAAAGGTTGAACCGCCAAATCCAGGGCGACAGCACAACACTCTCGAGATAACACACAGTGGTTACATCCTGCACTCCCGTCATCTTCGAACCCAATGGGACGAGAACCCTCAAGATCTGCCGCGCAAGAGGATATGAAGAAGGTGAACAGAGACCAGGAAGGGTCAAGAAGCGAAATGGAAGACAAGCCCAGTGAGGCATAAGCGGGGGAGTTGGTGGAGGACCCAGACACATCTGCAGTGTCACGAATCTCGTGAACATAATGGTCCGCCGAAAGAAAACAGCCCACGCTCTAGGCAGGCTCTGTCTGCGAACCTAACCCGGATCCTACCTGCAAGTAGGTATCCTCGGGCGTGCGACGGAAAGACTGGTTTTGGTTGCGATTCTCTTCAGCTGCTAAGCCATTGAAGAGGTATACTGTCCTAGGCGCCTGGGTAGCCTGTCCTACGGGTACCGACTGCTCAAATTGGGTCAGCCCAGACCAAGACCGATCACCCAGCTCCCCGGCTCTAAGAAGAATGAGTCACAACGTTGCTGTCGGACGCTCTGTGAGCTAACCAGGCACGTAGGATAGGGCGTGTCTACCTCGTATACACGCTTTTGGCGTGAACATAGAGACGTATGACTCACCCCATACCATTGAAAAGTCATAATTGAAAGACATAGAACACCTGGAAACCATGTACAGATCACTTGTAAACTACGAGGTACAGCCTCATCTCGTAGGAAAAGACTCTGGAGCCTCGTGAATGCGCAGCCTGATCGAATAGTTCGGAGACTGTTGCTTGGCGGATCTCGGACTTATTTGATTTGATTTCGTTTTTGTCAAGAGCCTCACGCGAGCACGTTGCAAACCGTCCAAATTCTCATTACCTCCTTGACTACAGCTTCATTACTCCATCCAAGCTCATACCCTAACCTCACGTCTTCTCAACACATCATCTGACTCCTGCGCTTGGTCCATCTCGCTTGAACAACCACCTGTCACACTCCAGGCATTCCTCTCTCCAGTCCCGCATCTTGATTTCCAATCCAAGACTGCCTAACCAATATGTCGACCGCTGGCACTGTTCCCGTTGAGTCCAAGACTGCAAAGAAGCGCAAAGCCAAAGGCGAAGCTGCGACCACGAACGGTGGTACCGTGACACCAACTGTCGAAACTGCAGTCTCCGCCAGCGAAATGAATCCTACTACGAATGGTGTGGATTCCCACGCCGACAGTCCCTTCATCAAAGACCTGTTAAAGTAGTTGCCCTAACATTGCACGAGATGAAGACATGCTGACCATGCTCAATCAGGAATATCCGCAACTTGAACAAGAAGATTGCTGCCTCTGCAAAGGCTGATGCCGTCATCAGTGAAAACCCAAACGTCTCCCTCGATGACCTTGTTGCACAAAAGAAGCTCAACGCCGATCAGAAAGCTCAGATCCTGAAGAAGCCTGCCCTGCAAAACCAGGTCACCCAGCTTGAAGAACAGCTCTCCCACTTCCGCGCTTTCGCTCAAGAACTTGAAGACAAGGCCCTCAAAGAGAAGTCAAAGTTGATAGAAGCACACGAGGCTGAGATTGCCAGAGTCAAGGAGAATGCTCTACAAGAGATTGAGGAAATCAAAGCAAAGGCCGTCGAGGATGGGCTACGAGTTATTACACACTTTCTACACTCCGCCGCGTCAAAACGTCAGTCCGAGGAAGCCGATACTGATGAGGGTCGTGCCTTTGAGGGCGCTTTACTATTGGTCTATCAAGGCAACGAATCTTCACTCTCAACGCTGCAGAAGCTGGTCTATGGCACAGAAGACAAAGTCACTGATGTTCATGGTGAGCTTCTCGAGTTCACGTACGCACAGATCAAAGAGTCTTCCTTGCAGAGTGCACCAGATGTGGTGCAAAGTACAGAGCCAGAAATCGGAGAGGAGGCCGAAGCAAAAGAAGATGCCACTGCCACAGCTGAATCGGGGATCGATAACACGATAGCAAATGCTGGTCTGACTGAACTTGACGATGCTGCTGCTATCCAGACCCAGACCATCGTCAACGACATTGCAGAACCTGAGATTACTCCCTCTGTCCCAGAACAGTCCACGACTGGTGAAGAAGCTGCCAACGCAGTCGGCGAGGCATGGGACCCGCAGGCATCCATAGTGACCGATACCAGTGCGACTAACGAAGAATGGGTCCAGGTGCCTCGTGTTCCTGCAGAGACTGAGACAGGACTTGCAGCGACTCCCGCCGCAATCCAATCCAACAGCTGGGCTGAAGAGGTAGGCGCCGCTGTTGCCACTCCTGAGGAGAAGCCCGCACAGGAGAACGATGGATTCGAGCAGGTACGCCGTGAGCGGGGTCGTGGACGTGGTGCGCGTGGTGGACGCGGCGAGTTTAGAGGACGCGGTCGCGGAGGGCGTGGAGATGGCCATCGTGGCGGAGGTGGTCGGGGAGGACCACGAGGCGGTCGTGGTGGAGGTGCTCCTCGGGGCGAAAGCAAGAGCTAAATGTCTCGTCGATTCTCCTCCTTGCTTGCTTCATCCTGTGAGAGACATGCAGGCTTGGGGCGAAGAGTCCCATGCGGGATTTACGCGACCTTTTCGTTTCTTGAATCTCACGGCCAGGATTGTTTTTCGTCTCGCCTCAGGGGGTGGGAATGGGCACGGGTGAAGTTGACATGCAACGTCTTTTCTCCATCTAGCGATATCGATTCCAGCATTGCATGAAGCGTTTGAAACATGGAAAAAAGGAAGATGTGCCAGAGGGTATGAAACAACAGCAGAAAGAACTGTGGAATATGTGAGAGTAATGGAATCAAAAAGGGTGGGGAAATCTTGAGGAAGCATGGACTGGACTTCGACTTCCCCTATGTTTGTCATGTACACTACCTAGGGTCTGATGAGCGCTGTTTTTCCTGTTGACGAAAAGCCCGTCATTCACAGTATGTTGAAACAGGTGATGGGAGCTATCAATCAGGGAGGGGAGGATGTGCGTGTGCGTGTGTTTGCTTTTGCAAACTTCAGAGAGTGAGAGAAAGGAGCTTGGAAATGAAAGAATGGAGAGGAAGAAAAATCACGAAGGAAAAAGGAGCAGAAAATGGTGAACCGAGTTGGGAGGGAACGTTATGCTCCAGTAGCTGTGTCTGTAGATGGCTATCTGCGCTCGATAATGTCAATTGACAATCCCCCTCTAGTACCTTCGGATCAACAGCAGATCTTGCGATGAAATAGGATTCCCATCGACATGCTAGAATTGACCTAGCAGTCATGGCCGAGTCATGGTGTCGCCCTTGGAAGTTGAAAGCTCTCTTAACACACGCATTTCCTGCAAAGGATTGTCGCTCCGCCTCGATTCTGGGATATACAATTCATCCACAAGTGGCTTCTTTCGGACCATACAAGAAGATTGAGACCCTGTTAAAGTCCGTCTTCTCCATTAGTGTCGGGCTACCCAACCGAAGTCCTCTCAAAAGGGCATTCTCAAGAGGTCCAGCTCGGGTCCAGGGAATCAGAATAACGGATCACACATAGGCTGATGTCGAGGCTTTTTTTTTTCTCACGACGGAGGCATATCGTATGCCAGATCCTGCACGCGCACGATGCCGCTGCCCCATCCCATGGCCGCGACGCCGGCACAGGCTGCATTGGGGTTCCATGCGAGTGCAGTAACGGCTTGCTCTTCTTCAAAGACGGCCTCACCGGCTCCTGTGCCTCCGGCGGGGGTCTTTCGAGGCCTCGACGACTTCTTCACGGTGGGTAGCGAATAGGCGACTTCGATTTTTTCCGGCTTGAAGCCCTCGTGGAAGCGGGATACGCCTGGGCGGGTGTCGTGCCCGTGGTAGAGGTCGGTTGTTGCTTCTTCCTCTTTCCCTGCTTCGCTTGAGTTGGCAACTGATGGTGATGACGGGTTGGTTTCTCTGTATTGCTCCTCTGCCGTGAGCGGTCGCCAATCATACTCGCAGATCTTTTGCAGGTATGCGCCCACGGCCTTTTTGGGGTCCGTTTTGCGGTAAGGGAGCACCTTTCGGAGATAGTTCGTCGCCAGGACTTGACCCTTGGCGTTGCCGACGAGAATGCACGGGTGCCATTGGGAACCAGCCAGGGCCGTCGTAGCTCCCGTGTCATGCGGGAGTTTCGCAATCTTGGACAGATTCGGGAACTGCCGGATGTGGTGGCAGACCAGGAACGTCGCGGCGTTCCTCTCTACCTGTGTGTTTCCGCTCCGGTCGAGAACTGCAATGAAGGAGCGTGTGAAAGGAGCGTATATCAGATCTCGCGTTGGGAAGCTAGGACGAGGGACGTGCACTTGGTCATGTTCTGGGCTTCGCAGGTCTGTCAGAGCAAGGTCACCTGAAGCCGAAGTGCTGGCCAGGAACGTGGATTGCGCACCAGGCGCTCCCGCGCAGACCGAAAGAACGTACGTGTGGTGGAGCCGTTGTTTCATGTAGCACTTCGGGAGACCCTCTTGACTCTGCAGTTCGGTCAAATCGAAGCAATAGAGAAACCCATCGGCGGTGCCAAGTAGGAAATTCGTAGGGTCGGCGAATTCCAGCGTAGTGAAGATAGTGTCTGCAGGAGGGGGAATATCGAAGCCAGCCCTTTCGACTCGGAGAGTGACTGGGATCCCCTTTTTGCGATCTTTGGGACGCGGCACGGCAATAATGCGAGCATGACCGTCGCTTGAGACAGCCGCAAGAAGACCGATAGTTGGATTAACGGAGTTCGTCTGGTTCGTGTCGTCAGCTGGTTCAAGTTGACACCACTTGAGCTGCCGAATATTGCCCCATTCGGTACCAATCACCATCACCAAGCTCGGCTCCTCGTCTATTGCCAGGTTTCGGATTTTTTCAATATCGGTTGGTCTGGTATGAAAGGCCCAGATTTGTATGCTGGTTGGATAAGCAGGCGAGGGATGAAAAGCCGGACGTTCACGTTCTTTCTCGTAGGGGACCATTCGCCTCTGGGACGAGGTGCATTTGACAGCCACAGCAAGGTACTGCACGGAATGGGTGTTTCCCACAGCCCACGCGAGACACTGTACTTTCTCTCCGACATTTATGAGCCAGGCTTGATGATAACTCGCTTGGGCGGGCTGTTCTCCGGTGTGCGAGGTCTCAACGCCCTCGGTCGTACCGTCATCCAGCCACGCTTTTCCT